GTCAGGAAGCTTTTCTGGAATACCCCTCCTAAAAATAAAAACTACTTCAAGCAGTTTCCACCACCAATAAATGAATAGACAAATTCCCTGTGTCTACAACTACTACCACTAAACTAGCTACCCAAGATCCAAAGGAAATTTTGAAAAAAAAAAAAAGAAGCATTAGGCAGGATGGCCTATGTTTTTAGTACAATTTGAGTAAAATATCTTTGAAATTCAACTGCTTAAATACTTATTTGTATTAGTCTTTTTAGCGTCTTGTGCCATGGTGTCACTTTTAGATAAAATATCCTGGTTTCCTCTCCCAAAGACAGCAATTAACATTACTACTGCTCCCATCATCACCACTGCTGCTGCTATGAGACCATTTTGATTGCTTTCTCTTTATTCGCTATGCATTTTGTTATGTTACGGGTAACAAGCAGAACTGCATCTGAAATAAAGAATGAACATGATGTTACCCTGGCTAGGAAATCTGGAGAAATCTTCTAGCTGACTTCACAGCAATAGGTTGAGGTGAAGTAGCTGCAGCACAGCTTCCTTATGAAAATTTAAATAAATGCTAAGGCACTTGTTCATAAAGATTTGGTTAATTTGGTTTCTCTGTTTTGGACAATGGATCAGATTTTCATATATTTGCTGCAGGAAGTCCAGGAGTATTTTGCAAACTATATAGTCAATGACAGTCTGGGCATCATTGCAAATGCTCACACAGTCCTTGCTGATAGGAAACCTTCCGAGGCAATGAGTGATCCTTGTTTAGAGCTTGCAAGGCTGTTTTCAATTGCAGTCGACTTCCCAAAAACTGGAGTTCCAGCTGAGATACGACCTCATCTGCGTGTCAAAGAGTATCCAGATTTCATGGAAAAGCCTAACAAAACCACCTACATATCAGAACGTGTGATTGTAAAGCTTTTCCGAGAGATAAAAGACATTGCACCAGACACAAACTCTATTAAAACCTTCACAAGGGAAGTGGCGGAACGGTCATATGATCCTGACATGGAAGTAGATGGTTTCGAGGATTACATTGATGATGCTTTTGATTATAAAACCGAGTATGATAACAAGTTGGGTAACATGATGGATTACTATGGCATAAAAACCGAGGCTGAAATACTGAGTGGTGGTATCATGAAAGTATCTAAATCTTTCAACAGGAGAAGGGATGCAGAAGCAATTGGTTGGGCTGTAAAGTCTTTGAAGAAGGAAGCCAGGACCTGGTTCAAAAAGAAAGAGAGTGACTCAGATGCTGGAGCTGATGATGTTTATGCAAAAGCTTCGGCTTGGTATTATGTAACATATCATCCTACGTATTGGGGTCGCTACAATGCGGGAATGGATCGGGATCATTTCCTTAGTTTTGCATGGATTGTTTATGACAAGTTGATCCAGACCAAGAAGGATAAATCAAGTCTCAGAAGGGCTCTTCATATGTCTTCGCTTGAACGGCAGTTCAATTATGGATTGAGTCTGAGCTGAGAACTTTAGCGTCAAGCCAGTTCAATATTTTCCTAATTTGAAGAATGTGAAGCTCTGTGATTTTATGGTTTTCCTTGACCACCTTAGCTTATGTATGTGTTTCTGTTCTATGTTTGCTTATTTGAGGGTGTATATTGTCTGAACTAATAGATGTAAATGAGGAGTGTGTATGTACAAAAATAATAAATGATGTTTTCCTAATCGTTTTTCTTTGATTCTGCAGCTTTGTATTGGATGTTAAGCCCTTATTTATCCTTTTGCAGTTATATATATTCTTGTTAGCAGAGGCATGAAGAAGTTAGCACATTACATGAGAAGTTTAATATGACACATATGTTACTCAAGGAACATAGAGATTAGTGAGGGGTTTGCAATACATGTGCTCTAAAATCAGGTAAATTTTGGGTGCAGTCCCTTATAATTCTCATTGCCGGAACTTTCATGTGTAGAATGTGTGAGACTTGAGAAATGTAAATATGGAGATAGGTAAGTTGGACAAAGGGACACTAATACTGCGAGTGTCTTGTTCTTTCATGTCCGGCATTAATACTATAGCCAAGAGAGAATTAAAGCTATGTTATATCGTATTCTCTTGAATCAATCAATTTTTTAAACTCGTTTAAAAATGAGCCTAAAAAGACTCAACTCGAGTTCGACTTATTCTCTAAACGAGTAAAATTTTAATAATTTTTCAAGCTCGTTTAAAGAAACGAGCTCAACAAACACAATTTAAACTCGTAAAATTTGACTTGATTATCAGCCCTACGATTAAATACCAAACTTTGTTTTCATGTGGCAACAATGATTGATATTTAATCTTCCGGGTGGTGCCCATCATTCCCGATACATAAAGGAAACTTCCTACTCCTGACCTTTTTCATTTGTCGTAGAATGATAATTGTGATCAATAATGAGTTATAATGAGCCCCATCACCCCTAGGATTTTTAATCAACCACAGTTCATTCCTTGGAGACCAAGTTCTTGATCTCCAACCACAAGGCATTGGGGTTACATCTATTCTTCTGTTCTTAGTCCTTTTATGTTGAGTTGATAATCATCTTCTTTTTTTGTTTGATACAAAATGCAAAAAAGTGTTTCTAGTTATAGAAACAAAACTTTTTTGAATATAGGGGCTGAATTATTTTACACGAAATTGGTCTTAACAATGAAGGTACGGTGCAATGTGAATGATTTTGAGAGAAATATTGGTGGTCGTTGGAAGAATCTATTTGAGATCGTCAAATAGACTTACTAAAACCCACTATATTATATAATATATATTGTTATATGGTGTTTAAATTTACACCAACTATTTCCTCAAGTTCAACAACTGACCACCATACCTTCGTCAAAATATTTGAATCTCTTAAAACACTCCACCCTGCAGTCCAATGTGTATCAAATAATTTTTCATATAAGTTCTCAAGAGTGTGATGACTTTTGGTTATAATAATGGAATATGTGTTGCAAGGACACCTATAAACATTTTTATTTTCTGAGGGAAATTATCAAAAGACTGATGCTATAAAACTTCCAACAATGGTTTTAGGTGTTCATCCTTTTTCATTAGAGACAATAGAACTTTGTCCATTGAATGCTTTATGAAATTTTAACTTGCTCACTCAAAGGTTAAAAATCTCACATTGCAATCCAAATTCCTTTTAAATTCAAACTGATGGTGCCCGGATTTGCTAGCCCAAGTTTGGTACCTTTGCCGATTGGCCCGAAAGGAATGAATGGTAGATATGATGAAATGGCAAGGAATAGAACAGTAAGAAGAAATTTAGAACACAACGTAAGTGGTTTGCTTTAGTCAAGAGACTAAGGCTACATCCTCTGTAAGGTAGTCTCTTGCTCCTCAAGTTTATATATTACTCGATTTGCAGTAAGTACAAGGGTGTAGTTGGCTCGGGGCCTTTACAAGAAATGTGTGCAGATAGGCTAGGCTGCGTGATGACTCGATAGAGAAATTCCTTGGTTTGGATCTTGAGCAACTTGTGCCTTGGTTTGATCTCCCTCCAGGTGGTCCTTCCAGTGGTGGTCCTCCTGGTGCAACTCCATCCCCTAACCATACTTGAGGATCCAATTTTTTTTTTTTTTTGAATGTAATTTCTTTGATACTTGTAAACATTCTCCTTTTTGCAATGAAGCTCCTCCTCTTTTTTGCAATGAATTGCTGCCAATCATTTGTCATGCTCCCTTGCCCCCTACTTCAAAGAGGCCTTAGCCTGTTTGGAGTAAGGTTTTTTATTTTCACTATCTTTTTCTCCCAATCTGCTTTATTCTAGGTTGCGTTGCCCCCAGCCCCAAGCGAGGACTGATCTGAGCTGTCCACTAGTCGAGGCTGAGCATCTCAAATCGAATCGAAGATGCTCGAGAGTTTGAGGGGTTTGACAGAGAAACTGCACGAATTCTAAAATCCTCGTTCTGTGGAGCCGAGCTGACTAGCTTTTAAGCTGAGGAGTTGTCTAAGGAGGTCATGATAGGTCTTACTTTGCGTGAAGACCTAGGTCGTTCCTTGGCTGAAAAGGCAGATCATCCATTGGCTAACGTCGGTCCTTAGACGACTTTGCTCGGCTGTATACTTAAATGGTTTTATGAAACCTTCTTTTTTTTTTTTTAAGTTAAACCCATTTAGGGCAAATTTTATTAATAACAAAATTATAAAGAGAGAAGAGGACATAAACATTTCCCCTTACATAATAAAAGAACTTTAAATACAAAATAAAGTCTTAACAATGACTGCAAACGCTGCATTTTACAGTCAATGAAGAGTCCAGAGGATATGAGCTACCTAACAGTCTAGCAGAAAGTTAGATAAACAGTATCGTGAACAGTACTGGGCAGCTGAACATTAATCTGCTGTTTTCTTCGAATAACCCAACTGAAAGACAATGTTGAAATCATAATGGCTGCAAGAGTCCTTATAAAAAATTAATAATATCTAAATCCATAAGATTTCTTTGGCTTTGGCAACTTGAACGTTCTTGATCTTGTCATAATTATAGGTTTGACTTTATCAAGTGCCAAAGACAAAGCAGACAACTCCTCCTCTTTTCTCTTCTTTTACATCTCAACCTTATTGCATATTGACAGTAACCTTTTAGAAGATGTCATAAAAGAATTGAAATCATTTTCTCGAACTACTGGTGCCTCATTTCCATCAGAGTAAAAACCCCTTGATTGCTCATGAAGAGTGGACCTCTTAACGTAGTCATCCTTTGAATAAACTCCTCTTAGCTGCAAGGCCTTTTGAATCTCCTCCCCTAACATGCTTGGAATTATCTCTCCTTGAGTATGAATATTTTTATGGACTGCTTCCATCATTTTCGGAGTAATGGACTTTGATTTCTCCCCGGCCTCCACTATTAAGGATTCAAAATCTTGTTTATAGTGACCATAATTCAACAAGGATGAGGACTCTTCTATCCCATCGTTCGAGACATTTTCAGAAGAAATAGAAATTTCATTCTCATCCTCCTTATCATTTAAATTAACCAACTTATATGCAGCAAAATCATAAACAGATTTTGTTCTGATCAGGAGGACTGGCATCATTGTTTTGATCAAGAGGATTGGCTACATTGTTCTGATAAGAGGGTGTATCACATGTCGTAGCATCATTTAAAGACAAATTATGTGCCCCCTTATCCGAATCTCCACCTTCCTGCATTACTGTCGGGTCTTGCATGTCATGTCCATTGAAACCACCACCCTGCATGTCCTGGGCCTCATTCATATTATCTTGTCTTGAAAATTTTGAAACTTCATTGGTTACCTGTTCTGCATCATCATTCACCTCCAGAACCAAATCCGGATTGGTTACTAAAAGATCTTCAGTATCTCTCCGTTGAGCACTTTCTGTTTGCAAAATATTTTCTCCATTCTGATCCACAATATTCTTCCCTGAATGTTCTCCATTTTCCATACTTGCAGGCAATTTTTCCTTCTCCATATCCCTGACTATAATGACAGTTTGCGATGCCTTTCCAAATGTGATTGTTGTTTTCTTTGCTGGATTATTGACTTGCCTAGGTTGTTGCTGCTGTTTCCATATTCCTTTTGATTGTTGTGCTGGCTTTGAATGCTTTGTTTGCTGTTGAGATTTTTCGTGATCCTGTGTTTCCTTAGTTATCTTCTTTGGGTTTGAACCTAGCGATACCTCCTTCCCCTTAATCTGCTCCTTACTTGCTTTAGCAGAATTATTTACTTCCAAATCCGGACTCTACCCTTGCATGTCTTCCCCCATTGACAATACTTTCCTTTTCCTGCATGTTTCTTCTCCGTGTCCCTGCTTCTTGCAACTCTTGTAGTACTGCTTTCTTCGATCATAGATTATCGTTTTCCATCTTGCTCCTTCATCGCCCATATCAATCCAAATTCTGTTCGGATTGTTCTGTAGTAGATTGACCTCCACGCAAACTCTAACCACTCCTGGTTTTGACATAGATAGAGTAGCCTGATCATAGGCTAAAACTCTTCCAATGGGTTTTACCAATAGCTTCAAGTAAGACTTGTTAAAAAAGTTCAATGGTAGACCAGACAGTGAGATCCACAAAGGCACAATGGACGGTTCAATGCCTGGGACAAAGCTTGAGAACCATTTAAAAAATCTGAATAGATAGTCTTCTACCAAGGTTGCATCTTTGAGCCACGTCTTTACATAATCTTCATGCCACTCAAACCTAAGAAGTATGTGTCTTTGGTCCATGGATCCAACTTCAAAATCACCTTTTAGACTCCACTTTGATCTGATAACTTCTTTGATAATTCCAAGAGAGGGTCTTCCATATGAACATTTTCCAATCAAGGCATACTGGAGAGCTTGACTTGAACTTTGTATTTCTTCATTGGTGAAGTAGAAGACTGGTTCCCCTTGGTAAAAAACAACTGGTTTGTCGATTTTTTTGTGGTTGGGACATATCACTGGGCTGTAATGATTGATTTGTGAATAGTGAAGCATAAGTTTGAGGTGTTTTAGAGGATAAATCTGGTGGTTTTTGTGGGATTTGGTGTTGAATAGGTGAAGAACTCATGAAAGAGAGAAAATTCTAGAGCTTCTCTCTCACAAGTCCATACCTTACTATTCTTTGTTCACTCTTTTGTGACTGTACTTTTCCTAAGTCGAAGGGTACGGATGAAAAGGCTCTTTAATGAATAGACTGATGGTCCACCAACCGTCACCTACCACTACACTGTTATTATTGATTACTGCCATGATTGCAGAAGTTTAACAGTCACCTGCATGTTATTTATTTCTTGGTTCTTCAAACTCTTCACGTTCTTACTACTATTCAAAAATTTTCTTGCTCTTTGCTCATTCTTTGGAGATCCTTTGCACTCTGCCTGCTTTTGCACTCTATTCGCTCATTCTTCTTGCTTTTGAGACTCATGACCTCTTCTCCCTCTCCTTTGTTCAAGCAACGCACTCGTGAAATGCTTAACGATTCCTGGTATTCCATTTTTTTTCTTTCTTCACTGCTCATTGCCGTTGATGTGGAGGAGGTGAAGAGGTTCTATGACTTCCCTAATGACTTGGTGGTCAGGGTTCCCACCCCTGATGAACCCTGCAACATCTCCTCCTAGTGAGAGATTTCCTTTTTCGAGGGCTCATTCGAGAAGGGCCTTCGCTTCCCCCGGACTTTGGGTGGGTTCTTTCTTTCCATGGGCTATACCCTTCTTGCTTTTCCCCTGAGGGGTGGGCCGCCCTGATTAGTTTCTTCATTTTCTGGCATCTTCAAGGCTTCAGTAATTTTTCCACTGTTGTCGAGTTCTTTTACTTCTTTGAGCTTTCATGGGATTTCCTCCCTTGTTTCAGTTGCTTCATTTGGAGGCGATTCTGCAGCCCCCTTCTGATCCCAGGCATCCCTAACTCTCCAGAGGGGTGGACTCAGCTCTTCTTCTTTGTTTCTAGGGACTCATGGGATTCTACCGAAAGACAACATTAGCGCCCTCAGGTTTCCCGCACTTGGGGGCGCTTTTGCGACAAAGGTAAACGTTATCAAGTTTTGGTTAGTCAACTTTGTTTTGGGGGCACTAAGTTAGCTTTGACCCTTTCCGTGTTGTTTGGTGCAGGTACCCCCAGTTTGACTTCAGATGAGAAGATTAATGTTGACCAGGTGGTGCTCGCCGACCCGGTCCTATATTCTGCCCTGGTCACTCCTCAAAACTTGATCAGGTTCGGGATTTCAGGTAGCTCAGCTGCCATGTTGGACGTCGTTCCAAGGTTTGCCTTGCAATATTCTTCCACCAAGCCGAAGAAACAAAAGTGTCTGAGGGTTGGCTCAGAATCTTAGTCACTGAGTTCTTCTTATGAGAAAAAGTCTTTATTTGTTGAGGTTGAGATCCTCAAGAAGCGGCTTTCTGAGGTTAAAGGAGAGAGGGATGCGCTGAAGGAGAAAAACGCCCATCTTAGAGCTATAAATGCCCAGTTGGAGATGGGTAACACCAAACTGAAGGGGCCGACCGGGGGGGGGGGGAGCTAGATCACTTCTTCTATTTGTAATCATATTACTTCTTTGAACATTAATGAAAATTTTCTCTTGTTTGTGTTCGTAATGATGTCCTTGTGATTACTATTTATATTTCTGAACTAAAAAGCTCTTTTACGGAGCTGAAGAGCTCATAGGCTAAAAAGCCAAGTTGTTTTATGCGAATGAATAACTCGCAACCATTATGAGCTAAAAAGCTATCTTCTCGAGCTGAAAAGCTTGTAGGCTAAAAATCCTAGTCGATTCACGCGGCTGAAGAGCTTGCAGCTTTTTCGACCTGAAAAGCTTATTTCCTGAGCTGAAAAGCCTAGTCGACTGAAGAGCTCGCGGCTTATCCGAGATGAAAATCTCTCTTCCTGAGCTGAAAAGCCTAGTCGATTCACGTGGCTGAAGAGCTCGTGGCTTTTTTGAGCTAAAAAGCCTAGTCGATGTGCGCGGCTGAAGGGCTCGCGGCTTATCCGTGCTGAAAAGCTATCTTCTCAAGCTGAAAAGCCTAGTTGATTCACGCGGCTGAAGAGTTCGCGGCTTTTTTGAGCTAAAAAGTTTTCTTCCCGAGCTAAAAAGCCTAGTTGATTCACGCGGCTGGAGAGCTTACGGCTTTTTCGAGCTGAAAAACTCTTAGGCTGAAAAGCCTAGTTGATGTGCGCGGTTGAAGAACCTAATAGAGGGTCATCTTGTCGTCTCTGGCAGCATACTCTTCTTCAACCTGTTTGACCACTAGCTAGGAGTCGCTGTTGACAACGATCCGTTGTGCGTCCATTGCCAAGGCTAAGCTTAAGCCTACTATAAGGGCTTCATACTCTGGCTTGTTGTTGGATGCCTGAAAGTTGAATCTTAATGCGTATTCCAGGTCATACCCTTTGGGCAAGGTTAGGATTAGGACAACCCCACTTCTTTGGGCATTTGATGCTCCATCTACGTACAGTTTCCAGGTCGGGACATTCGAGATGCAGTCTTGATTTTCTGTACTCTCTTCGGGTGGTGAGGTAAACTTGGCAAGGAATTCTGCTAGGACTTGCTCCTTGATTACAGTTCTATGTTTGAACTTGATGTCAAATTCACTAAGCTCTATTGCCCTTTTTACCAGTCTTTCAGAGGCCACCGACTTGTGCCGGACCTGTCTATTTGGCTATTCTGTCGGAATCTCAATGGTATGCACTTGAGAATATGACCTCAATCTCCGAGTTGCTACCAAAAGGGCTAGCACGAGCTTCTCCATCTTTGGATATCTCTCTTTAGCTCTTTCGAGGGCTTTGTTACAGAAATAAACCGGTTGGTGGACCCTCTCCTTGTCCTTTACTAAGGCAGTGTTGATTGAGAAGTCTGATATAACCAGGTAAAGGGTTAGAACCTCTCCTTCCTGAGGACTCACAAGTATCGGTGGTGCAACCAAATAGGCCTTGAGGACTTGGAAAGTCTCTTTGCATTTTTGGTCTCACCGAAAGGCTGTCTTTAGGACCTTGAAGAACGGCTAACACTTGTCACTAGAGCACAAGACAAATCGATTAAGCGCTGCTATTCTCTCGATCAGGCGTTGTACTTCCTGAGTGCTGATGGGCGATTTCATTTCGAGGACGGCCTTCACCTTCTTGGGGTTTGCCTCAATCCCCCTGCTATTAACTATAAATTCCAAGAACTTCCTTGCCAACACTCCGAAGGTGTACTTTGTAGGGTTTAATTTCTTCCTGTACTGCCACATAATCTCGAACACCTCCTCGAGGTGTTGGATATGAGATTCGACTTTAAGGAATTTTATGAGCATGTCGTCTATATATACCTCCATAGTCGAGCCGAGCTTTTCACGGAACATTCTATTGAACAAACTCTAATAGGTGGCTCCGACGTTCTTCAATCCGAAAGGCATGACCTGATAGTAGAAGATCCACTGTTCTGTGATGAACGAATTTTTTCTTGGTCACTCGAATCCATCATAATCTGGTTATATCCCGAAAAGACATCCATGAAGTTGAGGAGCTCGTGGCTAGCTATGGCATCGACTATTAGGTCAATCCGTGGTAGAGAAAAACTGTCTTTGGGACACTCTTGGTTCGAATCGGTGAAGTTGATGCATAGTCGCCACTTGCCATTCATTTTCTTCACAAGCATGACATTGACCAACCTGGTCAGATAATCTACCTTTCTGATTGCTTTTGCTCATAGAAGCTTGGCCACCTCCTCATTAATAGTTTTATGTCTGTCTGGTGCGAAGTTTCTCCCCTTTTGACTCACTGGTTTGCAGTTCGGATCAATATTAAGTCTGTTTATGATCACTGCGGGGACTATTCCTTCCATATCCTTCTGTTTTCAAGCAACAACATCAACATTCTATTTCAAGAATTGGGTCTTGATACCCCTGGAGTTTCATCTGATTTTTGTAGGAGTTCAAGTGATCAACTAGATTTTTGGTCTTGTCGAACGCCTCTATTGATGGCATCTAGAATTTCTGGGGGAGGGAAAAGTGAAG